GCTTTCCTTTATAAAACTGTCTAAAAGTAATAAAGATTAGATATGTTGATATAATTTGATTGTGGGAGTAGGCAACTCCCAAGGAAAGGATGGATACGAGAGTGCACCTTATTCCTCAAAGGATGGATGGTCAGGAAAGGGTTTATTTTATTTTATTTTATTTTATTTTATTTTATTTTATTTTTAACACATGAAGGAATGAACATGTAGATACTATGGATTGGATTTAAATAACACACACCCAAACATCCATAGTAGAACCTGGAGCCTGCAAGTTGCTGTCTCTTTATTACCAAACCACCTTGTCTTTCAATCATATCCTGCTTCTCCTGCAGTAGAGCTTCTTCCATTAGAAGCACTGTGGGTTGCTTGAACTGAACAGCAATTGCATTTTGAAAGGTTACTACTGTCCTGATGCCTCATACTGGGAAGGAATTCCATGTTTGGTCCTACCGAATTCTCTTGGTTATTAAACAGATACAGTAGCAGCTGTTCAAGATTATTGTGATGGCCCTCTACTGGCATTATGATGAGTTATCTTAATATGCATGTTTATCTCATCAGTTAGTAACTGGAAGCCTTTCAGTTAAAATTAATTCATGGTAAAACTATGTTTTGGTAATGTTATTTTGGAACAAACCATTAGTTATAAAAGAGGATTGAGGAGGAGGAAGACGAAAGGAATATGCTGAGAGTGAAACCTTGGCTGGATAATTTTTTGGAGGCTGTAGTTCTGTCATGCCAGATGCTATCAATAATGCAGGGTGCAGATCTTGTTCTTTCTTTATAATTAGACTAAATATATTGGTTTCCTCTGAATGTTCATACTGACCACACAATATGCAGAGTTAATGCTTATTTGCTCTGTTTACACTGATTAGCATTTTTGACATGGTAATATCTGTGACAAACATTTGTGCAACTGTTAATTGCACCTGCGCTGGATAAACTTGCTGTAGTTAAGTCTGCCTATTATGGGTGAGCCTCTGTGAAAGTACTTTTTAAATGTGTGATTTTGATTCATTGGTCAACATTAATTCATTCTCAGAAACTTAAAGGTGTATCTAGGAAAGAGATGTGCTTACATCATACTAGGATGCAGTATATCCCTTTCCAGAGTTGGTATATAGCATCATACCTGTGAACTCCCCAGCTTTATTGTTTGAACATTGCTGTGGTCAAAATGTTAGCTAAATAGCATCTTTGGCTAATTCAGAAAGGTAATTCTTTTTTCTTAAACATATATAACCATCACTGTAAGCTAGCATTAAGCATCTCCTATACTGCTTCTATGCTAGGAATTCAGCATGGACATTACGCCTATCTAGAAATAAATTCATGGGTCATTATAACTACTTGCTCCTGGAGATGTTAGTTTGCAGCATTGTGGTTTCTCCATATATAGAGAGAAAAATAGAAGGGTGGTGCAAAATTAGTCCCAGAATAGACTCAATATCAGACTTCAGGAATCACTGAAATGAAAAGAAAACAGTACAACCCAGTAATCTAAGGAATGACAGAAAGATCAAAGGTGGACATCATTAAAACAATCTAGATAGCGTCAGCAAATTGACAAGCCATACTCCACAACAACAACAACAACAACAACAATAATAATATCCACACACATTTGGCTACTTACACACACAAAGAAAATCCCTTCTTATGTCCTGAAACAGACATCTTGACCAATACAAACTTTAGAGGTTCCCATTAGGTGAGAATGCATCCACAACTGACCTTTTGACCCCTCTCTTTTAGATTTATTTTTGCTCTTTTCATTTGTACCCTTTTCAAGCACAAAAAGGCAAAGGCAATGAGGGCAAGTGAGATATTTTATTTTATTTTACTTTTGTTCTTGGGAACAATGATTCGTTGGGATAGAGCTTGCTTTAGTGTATGCTCTTGAGAGGCAACCAAGTGACTTACAATGCCAACACTGTAGAAGAGAATGCTAAGGTTAAAATGCTAGCCTGCAGAGAGAGAACTGACAAAGTCAACCAACTGGGTTGCAGCCAAATGGGGGCATGGGGACAGTCCTCCCTGATAAAGAACAACTGGAGCTGCAATTTGAATAAAGGAAGTTGGAGATGAAATGAGAGTGAGAAAAGCTACAGGTGGGCGTAAGAATCCAACCTGCCAACAAAGCTGAGATGGCAATTATATAAGTGCAAACCACCAATTCACTGTCTACCCCAATGGCTAATCCCATAGCAAGACACAAATTTGCCCCATGAATATTATACGTGCTGTCTCTGGCCACATCTCAGTGGAACACTGATACAGAAATGGAGGTAGAGGAGATGAGAGGTCTATACATTGTTTCAGGGCAAGGTAAAGTCCAGACTGGGCCTTATTGTGCAAAATGTCCCACAAAAGTTCAGGAACCTGCAGAAAAAGCCCTATGAGACATTCCAGACTCACTAGGTGTGAGTTGTGGAAGGAGAGAGCTGGAACAGAGACTGAAGAAGACATCTGGAATATCATATAGGTAGAACAGTACCTATAGCATCTACTAGAGGCAATACATAAATTTATTTTCAGTCAAGTTCTAAGATAATTCCACATGCATTCAGAGGAAGAAGGGAAGAATCTCCACAAAGACAAAGGAAATCACCTTACAAAAAGAGAGAAGACATTATGCAGCAGTGGCACTGCCTCCAGACCTGGTGTTTCACATGTCAACCATCCTATGTCCTTTTCAGGATGATGCAAATAACTATAGAGTGCTAGTTGTTTCAGCACACTAGACAGAACATATGAAGAGTCTAGATCAGGGCTGGCTGGGGAATTCTGGGAGCTGAGGTCCATACATCTGAAAGCTGCCAAGGTGGAGAAACACTGCTTTCTATGGATCAGGTCAAGAGCCCATCTAATCCTGCATTCTTCATCACAAAGTGGCTAATGAGATGCATCTAGAAAGTTTCTTCCACTATTCGTCCCCAGCAGGTGGTATTTAAGATATGCTACCTGTCATTCAAGCTATACAATATAGCCATTGATTAACTGATCATTCGTCTAGTTCCTTTTAAAGCCAACTCACTTGGTGAATATCACCACATCTGATGGCAATGAATACTATGGTTTAACTGTGTGGTGGGTAATGAAAGGAGAAATAACAAGTACAGTATTTTCAAGCTCTAACAATGATAGACAATGTCTTCAAAAGCAACCATATTCCTATATTGAAATATTGGTGCAGATATTTAATAATTAACATTGTTTATACAAATATTGAATTGGTGTGAATCCAAAATTTAGAAGAAGCTCTGCAATTTGTGTGGCATTTTTGTTTGCAGGAGTAACACCAGAGTTAAGTGAGAATCCCAGCTAAAGGTCAGTCTCCTTCAAGTCAAATTTGACACTTGCTGACTTCACGGACTCTTTCATGAAATTTTCTTGGCCATGTTACCAAAGTGGTTTACCACTGCCACTGGGGAAGATGATTTTTGACATCCCCATCTAATCTACAGCCCTGGGATTTCCTGGTAGTGCCTTATCCGAGTATTAACCAGGTCTCATCCTGCATAGCTTTTGAGTCCAGACAAATGCCACTTGTTGATACATGAATAATAGGTAAACAATATATACACACACACACACACACAAACACAAACACATACATTCTAGAGATGCAGCACAATCATATCTTCCAGATACATTCTTTGCGGTTTATAGATATATTTCCTAAGAGAAAGAATGTGATTATACCCATGATATACATTATTATGAAACTTCTTGAATCCTGGTGGGAATGGATTATATTTCTGAAGTAAAACACAGCATCACATCTAGACCAACATTTTTGTTTTGGCTGTTTCCACATTTAACCCTTTCAGTCTTGTACTCTTTCAAGTTCTAGATTGCTTAGCCATAATAATAATCTTTTTGGTTAAAGAGTTCAACTCAGTAACCTTCTTTATTGAAGCAAAGCTTCCTATTCTTTCACTACATTTTCTAAGCTGAAAAAGACAGTTGAGGTACATAGTAACAAGGGTAGAGAATAGAGAAGTTGAAACAGGAAGAAATAAGTCCATCCTGTACTCCTCACTTTGCCATTTGTGCATGTTTTCACCAGGAAAAAACTACAAGAGACTTCTGGTAATTTTGTAATACCTGTTTATTTACAAATATACAAAAATGGCATAGAGGAGAGACAGATACCAAAGAGACAGACCAATCTCCAAACAGCAACATTCCCTTGAAACCAGGCTCTTACTGCTCCTGAGATACAGGTTTATTTATCAATATTTAATGCTGTTAAACATTTTAATGTCCCTTTTTCAAGTAGGTAAGGTTTGATGGCTGGCAATCCCCAGACATGAGCAGTGATTGGACAACAGTAAGCTGAAAATGTGACAGTTTCATCCATTTCACTGACAAATTTCAGCTGTATTGTGGAAATCTGGATTGCATGCCAGCAATTAAAAAAAAGGTTACCCATCCCATGCAACCTAAAATATAACCTTCCTAAAATGCAGGCTGTTTGGTTTGTTCCCTTCCCTTTTATGCCAAAAAGTGCAGATAGCATTGCAGGTGAGGGCTTTGCTCCTGCAATAAGTCTGGTGTATTTACTGCTATGCATGTTACAACAGGTACCATGTCTTCTCATATACAGAAGGATGATGGAAAACAATCAGATTGAGCAAGTGCCTGGTAGTCCTTCCCTAATTATTGCCTGTGCTTCTTTGGAATAGCACTAACCTTCAAAACTTAGTGTGGCTAAGTAAAAAAGTGCACAGATAGGGGACTCCCCTCTCCTTACATTAGTTTTACGTCCACACTCCTCACATGTCTTCTCAGGTCCCCTGGGGTAGAGTGGAGATGTTTCTAATTTTATTTTGGGATGGTGAATCTCTGCCCAAAATTAGCAGTCCCCACTTTTTAATCCCTCTACATCAGCATGCTTAGCGCTTTATGGTTCTTAGTTTCTTTTCTTATTGTTTCTCACAATCAGCCGTTGGATTCAGCCATCCTGATTGCTATTTTTACAGATGTGGAATTGAAGCTGAGGCATAATGTTTTTTCCCACCCAATGAGTCCATTTTTATGAGTTGGAATTTGAACTACTATTTCAAGTTCCAAATGTAACACCCTGTCCTTTGGCTCTTCTCTTTCTCGGTTTGTTTTTCATTCCTGATTGTTCATCTGGGACTAGAGACACTAAATTTAAATGTGTGTTGGGGGAAAGGGAACAGTCCCTATTCTTATCATTTTTATAATGCTTTTCAGTGTTGAAAGCACTGAAAAGCACCTTCTAGTTCCAAACTACAGATTTATTAATTTTTTTAAACAATTTTTTGGCTTTTCTTTTGCATGCAGCTCTCCTTCAGAAAACAACCAAGCTCAGAGAACCCCAAGGACTCCACAATTCACTTTTATAAATGTGTAGTGAAGAGATCATTTCTCATGACATTAAATTCCATAATGAAAGACCAGTTTTCTTTCATTGGACAATGCGGCCCTCACAATACAGTGAGACTTCCTGTCATCTAAGCAGGTTCATCATAGAAGGAGCAGATGTGAACTGAAACATTTGGTTCTCAAGACCTGCAGAATGTAATTATGTATTATACCTTTATTCTATCCTTCTTTCTAGGAGATTAGAATAATGTTATTTTTACCTATTGTCTTTACAAAAACCCTGAGAGAAATATTAGACTAAAGCCTGAAGCCCTGAAGTTTCATTGCTGAGCAAGATTCAAATCTAGATCTGCTCAGTCTTTCCATTGCAGCACATGGATCTGATTCTCGTGTATATGGTTTAGAGTGATGCGAATGAGCCTCAGAATAGTTTATTTCCTTCTTTCTCTTCACCGGCACAGCTTTGCAACTTACCATGGTTAAGACTAACTGCAGTTTGCTGAAGCATAGATATGAAAAACAAGAGCAATGGATTTTTCTTCCTTCTGACTTCACCCAAGGGGAGAAAAGAACAGGGAGCTATTATGTCTGGTGCTTAGTTTAAGGTTATGTCTAAATGAAGCAAGTAGCAATTTTATTTGTTGCTTATTCTCTTTCTCAAATCTGAGCTGGCTTTTCTTTCATTGCAGTATTCATTTTTCTCTCTTTTAGCACTGGCAAAACATTTACATTTAATACAGGTTTTAATATTTCCAGTCTATTTTAATTTAATTTAGCATAGGAACCATTTCACATACTGAATAAAAGCATATAAGGAACAACTAAATTATCTTGCCCATTAGTAGCTTTTTGTTATGGGCTACAAGATGATTGAGAAAAAAGATCTGTTTAATGCACCAAAAGCTTTTGCACCTATATTTATGGCCTTGGATTAAGTTGGAGAAGTTCCACTGATTCTTATTTCTCCAGAATTTATTTTGTCAGTGACTGCAGCTTTTCCTGCAGCTTGCATATTAGTGTTTTTGTGTAATTATTAAGGACAGTATTGCAAGTGTTCGTTGTTCATGAATGTTTTTGAAAAAGGAGGCACCCAGCTCTAATGATCTCTAAGCCATATTGCTTGTTTCTTAATGGCAACATGTTAAAATGCTATCCTTCCTAGCTGCAAGCTACCAAAAATTCCATCCATCGCTGTTTGCCTCAGAAACAATCATCCCATTCCTGCCCCTGGAACTGTGTTGGTGAGGGGAGAAGGGAAAACAGATGAGAGGACTAATCTTCCCTCCCATATTGTACCAGCCCCAAACAACACCATCCCTAATCCCCTCCTATGTATTAAGTCCATTGGAGTCCATTGGGCGGCTAATAAATCAAAATAAATAAATACATTATAAAGAAAGGCTCATTGGCATGAATTAAATTTGTTGGACTGGAGCTGGGAAGGCTAAGAGGATTTCACCCCTAAATTTATTTCCACCCTCATTTCCATCCACTGGCCTACCAAAGCCTATTTAGACCTGAATTTTGCTGAACAATGTTTTAGTCAGTTCAAACAGAGAATCTGTAGGCTTTACTCCTCAGAAGTTCTAAAGAAAGCCATTGCCTTAACTGGTGAAAAACTTATTTGCTTTCATATGTATTTACTCGAGTGTACATCTTCTGTCAAACTCAGGAAATAAAGAACTTCCAATGGTGGCTTTTCCAAGCTCCTAGTTTGGGTATTCTTCATGTTATACTCCACTGTAGCAGCTTTCTGGAAGGTTCCACATGTCTGCTGTCATGTTGAAATAGTCCTCAGTCTTCTGGAAAATTGTACTGTCTGTAGCTTTGATATAACATCAAGAGATGGCAACACTCATATTGACACATAAAACTGATTGCTATTCTTGGCTCCTGATATATGTTTCTTGGTTCAGTTTTATTTGTTTCTCTTCATTTTGATTCCAGACCTAAATCTGGCTGCATTTCTATGCCACAATCAAGATGTTTGGCCAAAATATATAGAAATATGAATTCGTTTATCAACACTTGCAAATTTGCCAGACTGCATTTTCAGACTTAAAGGGTACAAGATTGGCCAAGGCTGCTATAAGAAAAGGCAAACGTTGCTTTAATATCTTGTCTCAAGAATAAATGTATCCTGCCTTTTAGAAATGTAAATGCTGCATTTCACCTTGTGGACTTTCCATATATCTGACTTTTGCCAATTTTTACAATTATATTCCTCCTGAAATGAGCCACTTTTTACAATATATATATTTTAGAATAATAATATACACATTTTGTAAATGATCCAAACATTTGAAGTGTGACAATGACAAGAAATATCTGAAAAATACATTTATCATATAAGAGCCAACACTAGCTGCAACTTCCTGTTGATTGTACAATCAGTGGCCAACAAAGGATGTGACTATGATATGGCATTTACATTTTACAGAAAGTAATATATGTGAGAAGACAAATCAAAGTTCTATGGGAATGCAATTAGAAGTGCTTAAAAGAAGGTATGTTATCATTCCAAGTACATTTAAAATCTACAATTTTTCTTTGGTTACTAATTCACATACTTCTTCTTTCCCTTTAAGTTTCCTCACAGTCTGAGTAAGATAAATATGCTATTTGTGAATTTATTACATCTGACAGTTGGTGGAGTGGTAAAGTATTTAGATTTTATGGTATGCATCTCACTTCACTTTTAATATATCTTAGAAAGAATCCTGATATCAAATGATTTTTGAATGTCCCTATTTTTCCATCATGAACTGCTCTTAATTTAGGAATTGTTTTCTAATAGTCATTCATAATCTGTCCTCCTGTCACTTAAAACCATTATTCCATGTACTCTACTCTAGAAGGAGAGAGAACAGATCTTGATGTTCCTTTATGTGGCAACCTTTCAAATATTTGAAGAGGGCTATCACAGCTCCTCTCACTTGTCTCTTCTCAAAAATAAGCATTTCCAGGTCCTTCAGGCTTTTTTTATAGCGTTTACTTTCCAGCTCTCTGATCATTGCCCTTCTCTGAACCTGTTCTGATTTCGCTGAATCCTTCTTGAAGCGTGATCCTCAAAACTGGTCATTGTACTTGAAAGGGGTCTGACCAAGGAAAAATTACTTTGGATGATTGGGAAATCATATTCTGTTAATGCAGCTTAAAACTGCATTGACTTCTTTGAGTTCATATTGCACTGCTGGCTCATAGTCAGATTGCAATCAACTCTAACTCCAAGACAGTTTTTTACCATTACTATTATCAAGCCAGATATTCCTATACTATATTTGTGCATTTGAATTTTATTTCCTAAGTGAACTTTGCACCTGTCTCTGTGAAGTTTTATTGTTACTATGGTTACTTTCAGCCCCATTCTCCAATGCATCAAGATCATTTTGAATTTTAATTCAGTCTTTTCCAATGCAATTTTGTGACATTGAGATTGAATAAGTATTCTGTCTACCTCTTCATCCAAATCATGCTACTCCAATTTGATGAGCATTCTTGATTTTCAAGACAGCTATGTGGCCACTTAATTGCCATGATATTCAGCCCACATTTAACTAACTTCTCTAATCAGCATGTCATGGAGTATTTTGTCAAATGCTTTGCTACAATCAAGATGTATTATGTTTATAGCATGCCTCCCATCTAATAAAGAAGTTTCTCAATCAAAAAATGAGATAAGATATAAAGATTTGTTACTGACAAGTCATTGCTGACTTCTAGTTCTTACTGCATTGTTTTCAAGATCTTATCTCTTTATGATCAGCTGTAGAATCATTCCAGATATCAATGTTTCACTGTCTGGTCTGTAGTTTGCTGGATCTTTCCTTTCCTCCTTTTTAAAGATGGAGACATTTGCTCTCTTGCTCACCTTCATAATTTAGCCATACATACATAAATGCTCAACATAAGAGCCAAACTGGACTTGGGTCCAGCCCACAGATGGAAGATTTCTTATTACAGAGCACCCTATCTACTTCCTCAGGTTCCACAAATTCAGAAGAACCTCAGGTTACATTGCAAGATATTCCTCCACTCATATCACATGGCTCTGCCCAAATGTTGTTTAACCCTGAATGCACATGAGCAATTTTATCCACAAAGAAATGGACAGAAGCACGACAGTGGTTTGCAAGCTTCTTGTCCCTTGTGTTGCTCCCCAGGATAATCTGTGTCACCCTGAACAGGGATGCTGGGCAGGAATCTCTGGACACAAAACATTCAGAAAAATACACACACCTCACCACTCTTATTGCCACTATGTAGGTAAAAAATAGGTACATACTTATCCTTGGCCCTACTCACTTTTAATCTTATGCCACCATTGATCTAGGCATCTTTTCATTTGCTTTATTCTTCATCACAACTCTAAAAACCAAGGAGTCACTTGGGATTGGCACCTGGGAAAAGGCCTCATAGGGTCAATCTCATCCAATGCTCTGGCCATCTCTTTATACCAGAGATTGACCAGACTCAAGACACACTAATTGCCCTCAGAAAACCTTCAGGATTGATCAGACACCTGGTGGATTGCTGTAATTGGTCCACCAAAGGGTCCTCACGTTCTGCAGCCTGACTGGAAATGATCTGATAACAGCAAAGAACAGTGTCCTCCATATTCATGTCTGTGACTATGCATTTTATGCATTTGAAGTAAAAACCTGATCCAGCATATTTGTTTCAAGAAAAAGATTATCTAGGACAAACCCATGGTCATCATGGAGGCTGCAAAACCCTAAGCCAACCAGGACAACTACCTCAAGGCATTCACCTGTAGCAAAAGCTTAGGAGACTCACCTAGGTGATGAGCCTTAGGAACTCCAGGAGAGCCACTACCAGGCAACAGGAGAATTGTACACCAACAGCAACCCTAGCTTCTCCCTACAGTCCCATCTCACATAAGGTATTCACATCTGATGACCTCTGTAGCAGTGCTACTAGTCACTACTAAGTCTCATGAATGATTGAAGTAACCTGTCCTCCCTACCACTGGCATTGTGCCTGCTACAGATCTCATGCCAGATGAGCGTTATGATTTTTCTCTGACTGGTCTAAGAGGCCCCATTTCAGCAGCACTTCCACTTTCTACAATGTACATGTCTTTATCTATAGTTCTGAGTTTAGGGTTTTCATTTTCATACTTCACAAGTTTCAGTTTAAAAGCCTTCCTAATTAACCTCACCGAACACATTTTTATCAAACTTTGTGAGGTGCAGTCACTCTTGTGCCAGCAGTCCATAATCCAGATAATTCTGTCCATGTCCCAGAAAACAAATCTCTCTTCTGGACATCATTTATATAGTCAGTCACTGGTTTGCAGTGTTCTTCTTTCTCTTCCTCAGATCCTCTTCCATGAACAGGAAGGATGGATGAGAATTCCAGCTGAGCCTCTGGTGTGATGATGCAATTCTGTCTGTTCTTTGGAGCATCATTTTCCCCAAGGAACTGTAAAGGAAGGATAGTTGTCAATGAATTTGATAAGTCTTGGAAGCTGTTATGTCACATTCTAGTTCTTGCTAGGATTGATAGTAGAGTTCACAAGCTGATGGGTTCAGTCAACATATCTGTTGTAATTCAATCCCCACCCACCCCATCATGTTTTATAATTAAGCGCTGTATTGATGCTTTGTTGTTCTGAAGTGTTTGTCAATGAAACAACCGTTCTAAGAATGTTTCTGCAAAAAAGTTATTTCTGACTCGCTCAAAAACTATTTGGTATTTTTCCCTTAGCTATATACAGCGGGGCAAAAAAGTATTTAGTCAGCCACCAATTGTGCAAGTTCTCCCACTTAAAAAGATGAGAGAGGCCTGTAATTTTCATCATAGGTATACCTCAACTATGAGAGACAAAATGGGGAAAAAAATCCAGAAAATCACATTGTCTGATTTTTAAAGAATTTATTTGCAAATCATGGTGGAAAATAAGTATTTGGTCAATATCAAAAGTTCATCTCAATACTTTGTTATATATCCTTTGTTGGCAATGACAGAGGTCAAATGTTTTCTGTAAGTCTTCACAAGGTTTTCACACACTGTTGCTGGTATTTTGGCCCATTCCTCCATGCAGATCTCGTGTTTGTCAATGAAACAACCGTTCTAAGAATGTTTCTGCAAAAAAGTTATTTCTGACTCGCTCAAAAACTATTTGGTATTTTTCCCTTAGCTATATACAGCGGGGCAAAAAAGTATTTAGTCAGCCACCAATTGTGCAAGTTCTCCCACTTAAAAAGATGAGAGAGGCCTGTAATTTTCATCATAGGTATACCTCAACTATGAGAGACAAAATGGGGAAAAAAATCCAGAAAATCACATTGTCTGATTTTTAAAGAATTTATTTGCAAATCATGGTGGAAAATAAGTATTTGGTCAATATCAAAAGTTCATCTCAATACTTTGTTATATATCCTTTGTTGGCAATGACAGAGGTCAAATGTTTTCTGTAAGTCTTCACAAGGTTTTCACACACTGTTGCTGGTATTTTGGCCCATTCCTCCATGCAGATCTCCTCTAGAGCAGTGATGTTTTGGGGCTGTCGCTGGGCAACACAGACTTTCAACTCCCTCCAAAGGTTTTCCATGGGGTTCCACCATGATTTGCAAATAAATTCTTTAAAAATCAGACAATGTGATTTTCTGGATTTTTTTCCCCATTTTGTCTCTCATAGTTGAGGTATACCTATGATGAAAATTACAGGCCTCTCTCATCTTTTTAAGTGGGAGAACTTGCACAATTGGTGGCTGACTAAATACTTTTTTGCCCCACTGTATTTCATCAGTATGTGGATTAGTTATGGGCCAAACTCTACTTCCATTGTCTTTGTGGCTTCAAAGCATTCTGTATAATTACAACAGAATTACGCCCTTCACACATTACTTAAAATATGTTATGTGACATTTTTATTTGTAACGAGTGTTGTTAACATTTTGTGCCAAGCAGATAGTTTCTGTGTGAATGGACCCTGCAAGACTATGTTATACTACATGTTGCTCTGCAGCCACGTTCTATGAGATAACAAGTCCAAGTTTTCTTTGACTTTAACAATATAGCATATATGATATATTTGCAAAAAACAGTAAACTGCAGGTTCCAACTCTGAGAATGAGGATAAAGTGATAAAGCAGCTGATATGGGGCTTATAGAAAGAACACAATACAGTAAGGATTAAGCCCACTCTTCCCCTCAGGCTCCAGATATGAAGCCTTGTAATGGCTAAGGAGTTCTTGAGCCAATAATGTTACATGCAACTATCTGTAGTATCTAACTTGGCCCATAATGTGCAATGATTTATTATTGCTTCTGTCAGTGCCTTCTATTCATTATGTTACATGACAAAAGAATTCCTGCCTGAGATGCTTATAGTCTGAACTTTTGCATAAGAGGCAACATGGAAAGGGGCAGAGATTGACGACAGAGGGAACATATGTTCAGTTCATTGATACATACCATCACTAGGAGATTAGCTCTGTTGCAAATTCACCATTTAGTATATAGCTGGAAGTGTGACTACAGTCCTGAGGAGAATAACCATGATATTTCATTTCATTCCATTTCAGCTCTTTTCAGAGATCAGGAAGTTCTAGGAAGGGCACGCTTACAGGCAGGAACCATCAGCTGATCAGCTCTAGCTTCTTTTGGCCAGTAGCATAGACAGCTACCAACCAATCAGTGTCTGTCCACCTGCCATTAACTGACTGCCATGAACCTGCCCGCTACCCAGCCCCAGTTCATGCTTATACTTCCTCTATTTGTTCACCTGATTATATGCCTCCAACCTCTTCAAAGTTCTGATTCTCCAGTTCATAGACTTGGTTGCTTTTGGGGTACCATCATAATGATTCTCCTTAAACACACAAACAACATAAACATATGCATTTGTGGACCTAATGAAGCACTAGGCTATTTTTTTTTTTTTTTATTAAAACTCATGCAGAATTGCAACAATTATTTTGTGTCTTTTTGTGCCAAAGGCTAGCATAGCTGTGTTTCTTTATCCTGGTAATGGACTTCCTTAAAGTTTCAATACTATAAAGCAGTTAATCAAATGAACCACTAAGGATAGACTACACACAGCTAAGTATTACATGTGGTCAGATCCTGATTTTTTTTTTCATTTATTCATGGTGACTTTTAAAGTAGAACACCTTTTTAAAATAAATGGTAAATTGCAGCATAAATGAAGTATTCTTTGAACTGGTATTAAAGGCATTTCTAAGTAACTTTAGTACTGTACTTAAAATAAGTAAAGGGGATAGGGGCTTTGTAATGTGTACATTTGTAAAAACATTACACAGACTCCGTCCATTTAATGGTAATGAGGACACAGCTGTTATATTTTTCAAGCCAAAAACACTCAAGGATGTTTCTCCAGTGCTGGCATTTGTCCAACACATCTTCTTTGCTTAGAAAGAATCCCCAAAGCCACATTGCTTAGAGAGGAATTAGTGTAGCTTTATGAAGGTTGCACTTGAAGCACAGCTGGCTAAGGAACAGACCCAAAATTGAATAACATTTGAAAAGCAATTTGCTTTCCCCTGTATAAGCTGTCTGGTTTCAGCAAAGCCAAAGATCACACATAAAGAATGGACAAACTTTTTTATTCCCCCAGAACCTATCAGGATTTTTCCCAAGGAAACTGACAAAATGGTGGGTCAGAGACATCAGTGAGAAATTCATCTTTTCCACCAACCCTCTTAAAAGATTATCATCACCTTTGGGCTAGAAGAGAATGACTAAATATCATAAAGCTGATGAAATCTCATGCCTTATAATTAAAAATGGTTAGTCTAAAACAGTGCTACCAAACTCTTTCTAAAAATCATGTGTTGCTGTAATAATGTCAGCCAGTTGCCAAGGCCAAAGCGCCTGTCCTTCTAATAATTTGGTGACAAAGTGTATTAGTTGGCTACAGAATATAAATGAAGCATGCTGATTCAAGAGCTTTTACTTGTGTATGTTCCTGGGCTGGTTGTTATAAAGCAGTGTTTCTCAACCTTGGCAACTTTAAGATGAGTGGACCTCAACTCCCAGAATTCCCCAGCCAGCATGGCTGGCTGGGGAATTCTGGGTGTTGAAGTCCACTCATCTTAAAGTTGCCAAGGACCTCAACTCCCAGAATTCCCCAGCCAGCATGGCTGGCTGGGGAATTCTGGGTGTTGAAGTCCACTCATCTTAAAGTTGCCAAGGACCTCAACTCCCAGAATTCCCCAGCCAGCATGGCTGGCTGGGGAATTCTGGGTGTTGAAGTCCACTCATCTTAAAGTTGCCAGGGTTGAGAAACACTGTTATAAAGCATGCAGTTGCACAGGCAGTCAGTAGTGGGCAGTCTCAGAATAGCTTCATTTGTGCCCCACAAGTTGTTCCTAATGAGAAGCCAGGCCAAAAGCAACATTCTGGAATGTGTACCATTTGGTCACCTCACCTCAAAACGGATATCCTAAAACTAGAAACTGTGCAAAAAGAGACAAAGAAAACAATGCTTAATGTCATTTTAATATTCATCTTGGGGAAAAGCCAACAGGCATTTCCAAGCATTCAGTTTGGGAACAATCTTCTGTGGGAGATGAGGATGCTTCTGGAATGTTCACATGAGGGTGGGGAAGAAACCAACAATAAGCCCCAGACTAAAAGGACAAAGGGTGGAAAGAGAAATTACACCAGAGAGTAAGTATATCAAGAAAGGTAGACCAATGCAATGTTAGAAGATCAGAGGCAAGATAAAGAAGCTTCAGTCTGGTATAAATGAAAGCCAGAAGTTTGCTTTTATTTTTTTTAAAGAAATGCTTTTAGTGGGGGGTGGGCAATTGAACAGCTAAACGGAGGAAAAAATCAATAGAAGATTGAATACATAAAGAGCTGCACTTTTCACATATGGGGATGACTAAAAGAAATACGATACAACACTGGATTGATAAATCTGAATTTGATGTATAGGAATCCTTTGCTGATGTGAGCTGTTTGTCAATGTTTTAAATAGTCTTTGTTTTTCAGCCTCCCACATTCAAATACGGATAAGGTGCTGTCATCTGCCTTACATCTTCTGTACAGTAATGAAAACAAATGCAAAATATTCTTGGCAATCTCCTTATTCCCTTCTAGACCTCCTTTAATTCTCTTGTTATTCCAACTGCCACCCCAGTTCATTTCATGCTTCTGATATATTAGTATAGCGAATGCTTTGGTATTATTATTACTATCATCATCACTGTGTGGGCTACCTCAATTGCTGAGGCAATTCTAGGCAGTGTACACAGTAATAAACAATTTAAATTGAAGAAAAACATCTACTACAGCAATAAAAAATCAGAACCCCTTACAGCAAGGAATAAACAATGCCATATAGCAGTCACCAATCCCTCTGCCCCATGGCCTGCTGGGAGAGCCAAGCCTTTAAAAATGCGGCTCTTCTGCAACACATTGAAGCCCTACTTTATTTGCTCCACTATCAGCAACATCCTAAAGGATATTTGTGATTCAAGCTTCTGGTTATGAGCTATAAAGCCCTACATGGCATAGGGCCAAGTTAATTGAGGGACCACCTATTTCCTATGATATGAACCTGGCCGGTTCAATCTGGCATGCTCTAGTTTCCTTCAATTAAACAATGGCATCTACTGGGACCCAGGAAGTGTTCCTTCTCGTCACCACGAAGTCCTGCCTAATTTCCATGTGGCTTCCATCCTGATAGCACTCCAGGAAGCCTTAAAGACCTGGCTGTTCTCCCAGGCCTTGGGTTAGGGTGGTTGGGGCCCCTGCTGGATTGTGTGTGGGAGTGGTTAGCTGGATCTGGATCTGCCATTGGTTCTTGTGTGTGTGTGTGTGTGCGTAATCACTGTGTTATATTTTTATTATGACTGGTTTTATTGTATACCACCCAGAGTCAGTTCGGAGTTAGGCACTGCCTAAATTGAATACATTAAATTAATGTGCATGAAAAGCAAAGGTAGCTAGTTTGGCCTTAAGAAAAAGTCCAAAATCCATATTAAGTAACATCTTTACTGGACCATCTTTACATCATAATGCATAATGAGATCTTTCAAGTACTTAAAAATCTTTCAAGAGGGCATTTTACATACATAATATTTTTAAATCTTTAGTTGAACTTGAAAATTACTGTCTTTTTAAGGATTTTAGATTTTTTTTATATACAGTTATTTTTCATGAGTATTCTGTTGATTGTTTCCATTATCAATAGTATTTGCACAGGATTAATACATTTAGGTTTCTTTGTATAACGAATTCCTTTTGTATACATCTTAGGATCTGACCATTTAAACACAACATCTGCATAGAGACACAGCCTTAAAACTGCAGTGAATGTTACGCTATAAGGACAGAAATAGGTAAATCGTTTCAAGAGTAGTAGGAACAGTTTGCAAATGTTCTCAGCTGCATTTAATATATTCTTAGCTTTCTAAAAGGCTTGGAACCAAAGTTTTAATGACTTATTGCAAATGTACCATTAGGAATTTACACATTAATAGGAATGTTAAGTGATCACCATTTGGAAAAATCTATTAGCTGACTTTTCCCCTCATTTCTACTAATGATTAATCCAAGCTTCCTCAGGAAAGATAGTAACACAAATGGAATGAGTCCTGCTGGATCTTATCAAAGGCTCGTATTTGCATTATAATATATCTACTGCTCTGGAACCTTACAATACCTTGCCATTAATTTTCCTGTGTGATTTCCAAGTGTTTAAATTATGGTTGCTCCTCATATGAACAAACTTTTTTCAGATAGAAAGTTGGGTGCAACCAAAACGTCATACAATGTCTTCCTGTAGCTCAGAGAAAATTATACAGTATTAGGACAGACTGAATTACATTAAGCTGACTGTATAAAGAAGCAGCTGTCTAAAAAAAAAAAAGGATTTAATCTATCTTGTTTTCTGCCCCTTTTGTTCATGACGAGGGTTCTCAGGGGGTTCCATGTGCAAAAACAAGTAAGATTCTAATAAGGAATTAAAATTATTAATGGGAGGGTTATGCTGAAATTGGGCTGTTCTTTCATATTAATGCAGTATTAGCGTCACAGATTATATGCTTCTGGGTCGGAGATACATGGCCATACTTTCTAATGAGGCCCATCAGTCCAATTCTTTATAAAAGACAAGGGTGAAAAAGTTGATAAACTGTATTTGGTTATTCGTTGCAGGGATGTTCCCAGTTCAAGGCCTTGGCAGCAAATTGGTGGGTTGCATTAAGCTAAGCAGTTGAACAGGGAAGTTGTGTTTGCACAATACTCTCTGGTCGATTTACTTTTGCTAAGAGTTTTCCAAAAAACAAAAAGGTGCCAAAGAATGTCCTTGGAACACTTGTGTGTGTGGTTTCTCTCTTTCTCCCTCTCGGTTTTGTTTGCTTTTGTTTGGGTTTTGTATATCTAGCTCCCTATAGCCAATAAGTCTACACATTACTGTCTTTTTCTAGAACAGTTGTGTTTGCTTTTTTTCCTATTAATATTTTTTATTTCATCTCAATCACCTGTTCTGATCTGATCTCATGCTACATATATGTTAGAGAAGACTGGAGATGGGTTCAGTTTCTGATGCTATTCTAATACTTTCTCCTTTTCTACTGACAATATTCAGCACTGTGTGTACCCCTAATGCTTTATGCCTTATTATTATTGTTGGTCACACAACCAGATGTTTAGACTGGAATTGCCATTTTTATCTACCTATCGAGTCCTTTCCAAGGATCTGGGATAGGCAGATGTTGTTGTTTGATGGTATTAAAGATATCACCACAGGATGGAAGCTGTTCCAAGTAAAGCTGCCTTTTGCAATTGACTGATGGTGATTTTGTCAATGCCGCTGGTCTTCAAGTGGTGCTCCAAATGTTTTGGGATTGCACCCAAGGTGCCTGTTACTATTGGTACTATCTTTGCTTTCTTTTGCCATGGTCGTTCTATTTCTATTTGCAGGTCTTTGTATCTTGTGATTTTTCCAGTTCTTTCTCTTCTATCCTGCTGTCTTCAGGTATTGCAATGTCCACTATCAAGACTTTTTTGTCTTTCCTATCAACAATTGTTAAGTCTGGGGTGTTGTGGCAGGTGCTTGTCTATTTGAATTCTAAAATCCTAGAGTGCTTTAGCTCCTTCATTTTATATTACTTTGTCTGTTTTGTGGTCCCACCAGTTCTTGCTTGCAGGCAAATGGTATTTATTTGCAGATATTCCAGTGTAGATATTCCAATACTCCTGCCTCCTATTTTCCCCACAACAATCCTCTGAGCTGGGTTGGGCTGAGAGAGAGTGACTGGCCCAGAATTATTAATGGCATTTATATCCTGTATTTTACTGTTATTGATTGATCACATGGCTGAAAATAATGGTGGTAATAATAATAAAAGCCCAGAGTAGTAATAAACCAGTCAAGTCTTAGCATAAAATTGTAATTGAAGCAGAAGCAGCACAGCTGTTCCTCATTCACCAAAACATTTGGATAAATAGAACTGTGTAAGATTGGCACCAAAGCTTACACAAGTCAGGGAGGGAGTTCCAAATGGCAGTTGTCCCACCACCACTTATGGTACTTATGAGACTGTGGAGTCCTTGGTGCTTTCTGAGCTTGGTTGTTTGATTGCAATCAACCAACCAAACTCAGAGAGCACCAAGGACTCCACAGTTCAACCCTGAGATACAGATACTCTCTTCTATTGGTACTTATGAGATCATCTCCCTCCAGTGGTGTCTACCCATCCTGTGAGATCTGGCGGGAGAGGCACGCTTCAGGTCTTTGCAGCAGCTCTCACCATCCCCTGGGTTTTCTTCCCAGTAAAAACAAAAGCAAGGACAGAGACAGAATGCTGGATGCTGAGTTGGTATGAATTCAGAAATGTTATTTTCCAGGAATGGGACCAGTAGATGTAACATAAGAAACTAGAAACACCCCCTGACATTGAATCAACTTGATAAGAGACAGAGTATCTAGTGGGTGGAGATGTTTCTTCTGTACTGCCAATTATTTTGATCCATTCAGATCTTGACACAAAGTGAATTATTTCCAATGCCTCAGAGCCATTCTTAAAGCAACTCCAACTGTATTTTGGCATTCCTCTTGATTTATTTTGTGACATGAATGTTTTTATGTTGTATCATTGGAATGGGACACAGAACTTAAAAAAAATGCTGCTTTCCTTCTGAATAATCAAGTAATCCTTAATTATTCCCTACATTACAGATATTGATGAATGTGCAACTGAATCACATCAGTGCAACCCTACCCAAATCTGCATCAACACTGAAGGAGGATACACTTGTTCCTGCACTGAAGGATACTGGCTTTTAGAAGGCCAATGCTTAGGTACGTTATCATGGGATGAGCTACTGTTTTGGAAACTGCTGCTCAGAATTTCTACATGATGCTCAGAAGAAAAACCTGTTCTCCTCCTCCTCTAAACTTCTATTAAAAGAGTAATGAGGATAGTATGGGAAAAAGACGGGAGAACTTTAGGTTACAAGTGGGGTTGAGAAAAATAGCTTATGATTCCCTTTCAATACAGATAGGCCTTGTTTAGCACCCACAATTGGGCTGGCAACTTGGTCGTTAAGTGAAGCAATTGCTAAGTGAAACCGCAACTGTGCTTATGATCTTACTATGCACTACCATTCTTGAGAGTGCTTCTTTTTTCTTATTTATTTATTTATTTATTTATTTTCAACTGCCCATCTCCCCCCAATGGGGGAACTCTGGGCGATTCACAACAAACATTAAG